ATTCAACTTTATTCCGTTGAAGTTTATTTCACTTTGGAACATTCATTCACAGATTTGCGCTACTGTCTTCACACACAGACGAAACTTACTAGAGAAGTGTGAAGTGTGACAATATACCTCTGTAAATAAATACAATATAAATTCACGTCTCGTGCACTTTAATGCCCTTTGAATGAAACGTGTACATTCCCTTGGAACTGGAATCATGGCGGTATTTCATGTGAAGTCCACTTCGCAGGGCACTTACGGTCGAATAATACAACGCTTGAATGCTGCTGCCTGAACAAGAGACCTCCTTACTGAAGTGAAAATGTTGACTGGTATCACTATCTCGCCAACACGCCGGCGGATCTCCACCAAATTCGGGGATCCCTTCAGCTCGAGGAGCCCTCTCGAACGCCACCCTCCACGCGTCGGTAGCCCCCGGGATCGCTAGATCGGTCGGCGCCAGACTGCGAATTTAACCGCCCATAACTCCCGAACCCCGGGGGCTATCGACACGGGGGTGGTCTCATTCGAAAGAGGGCCTCCAGACGTACACTCGATTCGCGTTCGAGAGGGTTCCTCGAGCTGAAGGGATCCCCCAAATTTGGTGCGGATTCGCCTCGCCTTTACGGATATATGGCTGTTCAAAGTTTCAATGGTTTTCCATAGACTTAAGCTTTAAAGCGTTTCATCCAGGTCGCCTGTAGCAAACAATGGAGCACGCTCTGCTGGACAAACTAAGTAATTACACCATTTCAAGCATTTTATCTGCGTTATATGTTCTGTAAAAAAAAAAAATTCATATCGGCGGCATATTAGCCGATACCGATATATTGGCGACAGACTCACATCAGCCGATAATATCGGCTAAACGATATATCGGTCGGGCTCTAATCTAGAGACTGGAAAAATTACTCAAATCATTTTGTTTTATAACACAGAAACCTGCCGTTTCAAAGTCGACTCTGATGTTGCTGGCTTTCATCAGCAATAATTATTTATTTATTCACTTTTTAACGCCATGCCAGCACCAAGGTTATTTTCATGGCGATCTCTGAATAAATTATACAAGGTATACAATTAACAAAAGGTTCTAAAAGACATTTCAGATGTACACTAGACAAAAATTCTAAAATGCATTCTGGTAATACATTTTTTTATTTCATCAGCAGGAAAGAACACGTATTAAAGATACTACAACAAGTTATTGCATTCTGAAAAAAAAATAATAAGAATGACATGAACATGGGTCAACTGTGAGTTGATGAGAGGGGGAACAGATTTGATTGCTCACCTTGGCCTTGTCTTGGAGTCGCAGGTGGGCCAATGGGTTGAGCCTCTATCTCCTTCAGAGAAAACCAAACACAAACATTAATATTTGCACATTTAATGGAGTCATTTGCAGATTTCATTATAATAAGGTACCTACAAGCTTTTTCTTAGAGTCAGGGTCAAACCGTTCCAGAATCAGCTTGGCATTTTTGTAGGTTTCAGTTTCCATTACCTGCTCAAGCTGTTTGAGAAAATATTACAATCACATAATCACAATTATATTAAACAGTGATACCGATTGATTGGCATTAAATACTGAAGACACATTGTTATGAATTAGCTCAAGCTGTTTGAGAAAATATTACAATCACATAATCACAATTACATTAAACAGTGATACCGATTGATTGGCATTAAATACTGAAGACACATTGTTATGAATTAAAAAAAAACCTTTCCAATTTATAAAAATCCATCAAGTCCAAGTCAAATGAAGGAACTAGACCTGCTGCTTATATCTGGGTTTAAAAGCTGAAATAAACTCTTCCGTTTAGTTTTATTTCAAAACTTAATTTCAGGGAAAGAGCAAATAGTGCTAATTATTTTACTTTAATGAATAGAATAATTACAAGTCCTACTGCGATAATGGGGAGTGTGAAAATCCATCAGCTGTAATTATTGAAAGTTATTAGACATGACAGTGGATGACAAGCAATTTCTCAGATTTATTTCCTCCCATCACTAAACACTATTAATTTAAAGACAAGTCATTAGCCAAGCACTTTACCAAGTAAAGTCTCTTTGCCAATTACCCGCTGTCTCCATTGATTTCAGATTATTTATTAGGAGCAGAAATTATCTCTCTCTCTCACTGACAGCAGAGGGCCACAATATGACAAAAGGAAAACAGGATGTTGTTGTGCTAACATTAGCATACGGCTAACTAGCGCACAGGGGAAGATGGGAGCACACAGTCTGCGTGGAATTACTAACTCACTCAAATTAAAAGATCCTAACATAAAGAGAGAGCGCCTCCACTCTCTACAGTTGTGAAAACAGAGAAAAAAAAGACAAACTAGGCCAAAATGAACTACACAACAGGAAGTGACATTCAAAGACAGACACTGCTACTGATTACTCACTATTTTCTTCTTCTCTGCTTTCAGCTCTTCTAATTTTTCATCTAAGATGCAAAAATAAAAAGAACAGAAAAATGAATGTGTTGATACGATTAATACTACTGGTGCATCATAATAGACTGACCTCATAATGAAATCAAACATAAAATCAAGTTCAGTAAGAATGTCTTACTGTTTCTCTCCGTTCGTCTGTTGTATAAAACAATCAGCAGTTTCCTCAGCAGCCAAACTCTGCAAACAGGAAAAGAAACTCATTTATAAAGTCAATATTGACAATTTGGATATTCATGCATATCAAAAGATAACTTGAATCAAAACCAAAATCACACAATTTACCATCAAACTTCTATCAGTCTGAATTCAAAAACTGAACTTAAAGTACTTACAACAGAGGAAATACCAAGAATGGTGACGCCACTATTAATTTTCCTATCATCCGCTCTGGGATGTACCACACATAGACGACTGTACAGGCTATCAAGTACAGCAGGGCTGAGTACAACAGCAGTCTGTAAACCCATAACTTCAGCTGCTTCTGGTTCTTCTCTCTGCATTCCTCAAGGGCCTGGACATCCTGAGGGAGATCAATTAAAACACTCCATAAAAACTCCATAAGGCCAGGAATTAGTAAGTTGCATTCAAACAGCAGTAGAAATACTGCTCAGATATGGAGTATAATTCATATTTAATTACATTTCTAACAAAATTACAACAAAAATAACACATTATCTCTTTAAAAGTGTACCTAGTATTGAATACTAATCCAAAAGTTCAAATATGTTTCAGAAAAATGGCAATTAATAAAACTGTGCATGCAAGTCCTGTCAGTAGAATGCACAGATGTATGTTTTCAGCAGGATCAGGTCAAATAAAAGCATGCATGATAGCTTAAGGACACCAAATTACTGTAAAACTTTAAAATATCGTGCAGCATACAGAAAGTATGGAAGGAACAGTTGTTTTGTCCAAACTTGAATCAAATCCCCATGACCTAAATACCTAAGGCAGAACTTGAGAGACAGGCTCTAATCAGAATCCGCAAAAATGTAATTTAACTGCGCACTGATCTAATCTTGTCAAGATACAAATCAGGTCAAATGTGTTTAATTCACATTTTGAAGTCACAATTAGAAGTCTTTGGTTCTAAACAGTAAATATACAACCCAGTTATTTGCGCAATACTCAAGCTCTAAGATATGGCAACTGAACAGACCTCTCTCATTGAGGTAGTACTGTATAACCCCAATCCTAAAATATCTAATGACAGTTACACAGTGCCTTACTGCAGCAGACATTTGTGTCTGTCTGTAACCTTGTGTTATTCTGAGTCACAACTGAACCTAAAATAGATAGATAAATAAATACATAAATAAATAAATACACCAGTTCAAACATTACCATGGCCTAATTGCACAAGAACACCTTCAATGTCAGAAAAGTATAACAGACAGAATGAGTGATGTCAGGAAATGGTTGAGTGTAGTTTTATACCTTATCAAGGCCCTCCAAGACCTGTACAGTGGTTGGCTTTGCCTATGGATGGATACAGTACACTTAGTAACAATAAAGCAAGCTGGGAGGAGGTACAAATGTACAAAATTGCGAAGTTTCTCCATTTAGATTTCTACAGTATATAGCATGTTATATTAATATCAAATCACACTCTTAATTATGAAACTTTTGAATGAATAGTTCACCCAAAAATTAGAAACTGCTGTAAATTTACTCAACATCATGCCATGCAAGACTAGCATTACATCACTTGTTCACCAATGGATGCTCTGCCGTGAATGGGTTATTATGGATTACAGACTTCTATTTTGGCCACAAACGACAGTTTAAAGTTAAAACACATTAACAATACATTTGTTTCTTCCAAACATGCAGCTTTTTCCTTCAAGACTACTTGGATTATTGTGATGTTTTTATCAGCTGTTTGGACTCTCATTCTGACGGCACCCATTCACTGCAGAGCATCCATTGGTGAGCAAGTGATGCAATGCTACATTTCTACAAATCTTATGAAGAAACAAACTCCACTACATCTCGGATGCCCTTAGGGTGAGTAAACCTTCAGTTAATTTTCATTTTTGGGTGATCTATTCCTTTAAGGCTTTATAGCATTCAAGAAAGACAACAGCACACCATACGTCTGTGTGACATTTCTATCAAACCACTATAAAATCAAATTGCAGATGTTAACATTAATATTGAAATACAGCCTAAGTGCACATCCTAAGTGTAGTTGAGTGACTGAAGCACATTTACCCTCCACCGAGACACCACAGCCCCCATCTTGTGAGGGCAGTCCTTCTATCTAAGCCTGGGTTCTGTTACTCTTGCTACTCCACACCAAAGCCAGACACCTGTTCACAATAAAGGCAACGGTTTCTTTCAACAATAACAATATTTAAGTTACAAACAAGATCATGATAGATGTTTTCCACTTGGGAAAACACATGGATTAGAGAATGGATTATAAAACCTCAGTAGGATTTCATTTACAAAAATGTGGATGCTTAAGTCACATTTATTAAAAGTGTGTATGTCTTCAAACAAATGCTACTTGAGTTTTTCCTCAGAACCAAATTAATATTATGATCCATTTGATTTTTTAGTGGATTTTTTAGTTCTCCTCAAGCTCACACAGGTGTCTAATCACATTAACCTGCAACATGACCCACTAATGTTTCAATACTTTTAGTCTTAGTATATCTATTGCTTGGTCATTTCAAACCAAACAAACTTCTTTTTCGACAAATGCTTTGCTTTAAGAGTGTATCTGTGCGATCTTACTTTACAACTCAATTTACGTTTTGTTTTCTGTTGCAATGACATTTGACATTCAGAAATTATGGATTAAAATGCATGTGCAAACGCTTTCAGATCCCACTGTATCTCACACATGCAGGGTTAGATGCATGAGATCCAGTGTATATTGTAACGCATTACTTTTAAAAGTAACTTTCCCCAACACTGATGAGATCAGTGATATCAAATATCTCCACAGCTCACACAAAATCTGGAGGCTCTGAAAAGTAACAAGACACTCCTCTATTTTAAACTGCAGAGTCCTCAAGAGCTCAGATAGTGAGCCCACTTAAACTTGTTTGAGAGTGTTTGAAGAGCGGATAGTGGTGTGAAAAACTGCTGGAAGCACCAATTAAAGTCATTTTATTTATAACTTTTTTTTTATTCAGCCTCACCCTTCCAGCTTGGAATGCGGTTTAATATCAAAAACAAAATTCAAACTCTTATATTCCAGGAAAATTCAGGTCGAGTGTGATTAAAACTACTACTTTACTTTAAAAAAAAAAAAAAGGATTCGCACTATATTCTTGAAACAATGATAATCAAGAAGACGTTAATGTAGAAAAAAAAAACTTCACGAGTTAATAATCTCATTCTGTCCGCTAAAACATTGCGCTTTATGTTTTAGCATAGCATAGATTTTCCGACAGATTATGTTTCCTTAATCTCTAATATCAGGAATGGTTTAACGTTCAATGCATCTCTAAAAAGACTCACTTTGAGAAAACCTAACCCGCTGCTGCGGACCAGATTAGACGACATGTTGTGCTCTCTGTCACGCATGCCCGGTTATACAGCGTTATTGTGCATAAACACGCCGAAAACCGACACAACACAAGATCATTGAGGATGCCTTACCCCTGAATATAAAATATTATCCAGAAGAGACTCGCGTTATTATTCCTGTACTTCCACAGCATACGTCATCACAGTGCTCCCACAACCCCGCGCGGCACGGTCCTCCCCTACGTCACCGCTCTGTCACGTGGTCAAGCACGTGCTCTCTCAAAGCGCGGGAAAATAGAACGAACTTGACGCCGTGCTTCTGAAGAGTTTACGTCAGGGCGGAAACAAATGATTTATTTCAAAAAGGTATATATATTTTGCTTATATTGAGTGTTTTGGGTGAAATAATTCTATAATAGAAAATAGACAATCTGCTGTTACTGTATTTGTAAACGTTACATTGTGTTAAAAATGCTTATAGAAAATGTGCTAATAGAAATGTTGCATTCACATTTCCTACATGATTTATAGTCTAAACAATGTTTATTTAAAATAATGACATTAAAATAGTAGCCTATAATCAATTAAAAAATATGAATGAATGAATGAATGTCCAATCGGTAACACACTTTATGGTATGAATAGACTTTTATGCTATTGACAGTACCAGTAACTGGCTTTGTGCCATACATAACATCAATTTATTCGGATTAAGGTAACTGGACAGTACAATTTACATAGCAATGTATTATTCTGATTATTGTTTTTACTACAGTAGCCTACGTGTAGACTGGCAAAGACACACAACTCACAATTCATACAACTGTTTATGTGTTCACACAATGAAAACAGACACTGGACAGCTGTTCAGTAAGTCACTATACTTTATGACTTATATGGCTTATATTTTTATAGCATGCCTACTTTCTGGAGAAAAGTAGAACTCGAAAGGTCTGCATGAGGTGGTGAAATGTACAGTGCAAATATGTGATGAGCAGTTTGGTTATTTTTTATGTAGCTTAAGAAAATTAGCCTATACTAGGTTTGTCAGTTCCATTAATTCCCATTCCAAAATAAATAATAATAAAAAAAAGGCTTGGATGTGAATATATAATAGTGATGGTTGTCTTTGTTTAGGTGCTGTATAACATGATGAGGAGAAAATGTTATGTCCTTGTAGAGAAACAAAGCATATAGGGCATATTAAAGGCTATTTCAACATAATCTTACCCTCAAATGTAGTTTTGCTGATGTAACTATATAACTATGCCTATTTAGGTTCAGTGTGGTTAAATATCAATTAAGAAATGTACATTTTTAAACAAATAAGGCACATTTTTAGGTTAAAATATATATATTTTTTTAAATGTACACAGTAAACAGTGGTAACCTGCCTTTGTTTCATTAAGAAATTATTTCTTCATACCACTTAAATTTAGTTTTGTTGATGTAACCTAATGTTTGTTGTTGTTGTTGTTTTTTTTTTGGTTGGTTCAGTGATGTTACATAATATTTTTAACTTCAAATGAATGAAGCACATTTTAGGTTATTATTAGAAACATACATCAGAAATGTATGTTTTGCCATTATTATAGAGGGTTAGAATGTGCATAACTTTACCATTGAATAATAATTCTATTACAGGATTATTGGTTAATCCAATTAATTTTGTGTTGTGATGTTTAAGTAGTGCATGGTCTCTGTCATGCATTGATTTATTCATTTTTACAATATCCCAATTTGTAATTTATTTGGCTAAATGGATGTCTTGAATCAAACTGGCCTGAAATATAACAAAAGCTATATTATCCCATTCAGCACTTTGCAAAAGTACTGATCTGAAATTTTATTTAAAAATAAAAAGGTAGCTATCAGTGAATATTACACGAGACCATTTCAAGACTTCATGTTACAAAAGCACAGCAAATATTTTGTGAGAAAACTGCCAATGCTTCTGATGATTGGTGCTCTTTCTTTGGAATCTGATCACTCTGAAATGGAGAGAGGATGGGGCATTCAGCATGAAATCTAGACCTAGCATGAGTGCTAGAACGACCATACTGCCTCAGCTGGAATAGTAAAGATCAGCACCATGGACAGCAACTGAATTTATAAATGTATAACTTTCACAACAGATTAAATCCAGTGCACAGTGTACTTACATGATGAGGAGCTTTAGCATGTATATGGCTGTAAGGTAATAATACATCTTCCATAAGTTACTGGAACCAGATGTACAATATTTTTCTATGTCACTGGATCAGAAGTGGGGGGGGGCAATTGTAACCAAAAACCGTTTGGTTGCCAAAATTCTTAAGTACATGTAAAGTAAGTAAGTAAGGGTAAGTAAATTAATTTTCATTTTTGGGTGAACTTTTCCTGTAAGATATACTGTCATTGTTGAGCCACAAACAGTATTTTATTGGCTTGTGTATTTGTACAAGCTTAGGTTATTATCCTCTGGTAGTGGGGGTTGCTGTACTGCCCGCCACTTGTCCCCACAATACATAAAATCTATAAAAGATACATTAAAGGCAGACTGAGTGCATGCATCTTTTTATTATGACTTTTCTTATGTCCATTTGTTTCTAAAATCATCACTGAGTAGTGTTTAATACTAAATAATGTAATTGTAAATGAGCTGCAACATCTTCATTAAGAGATTATCTTCATTCATTATCATTCAATATTTTAGCAAAGTAAACACACTGATAGCAAATCACACACACACACACACACACACACACACACACACACTCAGTTTGTCCTTCTTTGAAAGATGCACACTTCAGAAGTATGTTGTATTGTCTAGGCAATGGGACTCTGTTTTCTATTGCTTATTACGGAGTTCAAATATACAGTTTGCTTTGTAGTTTTACTCAACCCAATACACTTTGTAATGCCTTCAAAAAAGTTATTTATTTGCTGTGACTAATTAGAGCTGATTCGGACATCTCAGATTCAATGTCAATATTTTCTCTAATAGGGGGTCTGTTTGTTTTCAGTATGAATATTGATTAAAATTGTGTGATATAAAGCATTTGGTCATTTCACTTTGAAGCAAAACTACATCCCCTGGAAATCTGCAAAAATGATCATGTATTGTAAATATTTGTGAGTACTTACATACATATCATTGACCACTGTCAATGGGACTCATTTAAAGCAAGAGACTGCACTCTCTTGTTTCAGCAAGATGGAAACTAACAGCGAGACTGACAGACTGCTCATGAATTAGCGCGCAAAGCTGCTGCACTCCTCGTAGAGTAACAGCTGTCAAGAACATTACAGTGCAACAATATCTCTACGTGTTTAATATAATGAGGTGCCAGTATAGGGTACAATAATTATATTATTTCTTAGAAATCCGATAAATCCGCGAAAGTGTGATGTCATTTCAGGAAAGCAAAATGATTCGCAAGTAGCCATTCAAGCCTCAGTGGCGCGAGCCTCTGCAAGATTTGCGCGATACCGTGTGACCTTACCCCGACTGTAGTTTGCACGAACTTTCCACAATTCGCAGTTCATTTAATCGAATGTAATTCAAAACAATCCTTCGTTATTATTGCGACAAAAAAAAAGGCTTTACTCATGGCGCCCTGCACGTTGAACTCATGGCTTTGCTGTAATGACGGTCTGTAGGTCTGTTTGGCGATGAAATGATGCGTACTGCTAAAATGAAACTCGTTCATTAGGCTACTTCATTTGAAATTGTCGTCAGTCAGACAAAGGGTTAACTTTATGGTTAATTAATACAAGTAAGACGGAATGAATAGAGTCCCACTACACTCTAAAAAATGCTGGGTTGTTTCAACCCAACTTTGGGTCAAATATGGACTAACCCAGCCGTTGGGTTAAATTTTTACATTAAATGTTTAACCCAAAAGTTGGGTTAGTCCATATTTGACCCTAAGTTGGGTTGAAACAACCCAGCATTTTTTAGAGTGTATTATTATGCGTTTACGGTACGTGTGTTTGCCTGTCATGAGGTTTAACGGCAAAAGGAAAGCAATAGGCGTCAGGGTTTTCTGCACATAAGATGCATTCAAAATACTTTCCAAAATGTGCCAGGTGACATATTAACGTTATGATGTATGAGGAAAATGCCCTCTGTTTGGTGTTCGACAGCGTGAGTACTGGTGTTGACATGTTTCACACTTGCAATTGTGAGTACGCTGAAAATATACTTTGGCAAAATGTGATATAATTAAAGTGTTATTTCAGTAAACTATTATGTTTTGACCCCCATTTTCTCCTGCAAACCAGACCTTCTCACTGGCAGCTTATAGCAAACAGACAGCTCAGCCGTTAAAGCAAGTGAAGGCAATTTTCAAGGATAATTGCGAACATGTTTTAATACATATGCATGAAAAACATTTTCCTTTTTGAGGGAGAGGGAGCGACTTAACGTGCTTATGCAATTGATTGAGGGGATGACCTGCTATTCAAAATGTTATTTGAGAACTATCAAAATGTGCAGACTTGCAAATTGCCCGGCTTGTATCTGAATTACTACCCCATTCATCATCATTATGGGTTGATAAGTTAATTTAACCATTTCATTCTGTCTTAATGAGCTATAGTTAAATTAATGTCACATAATGTATGAAAGCAACATTTGAACAGAAGCGTTCATTTGAGACAAACAAGGGTGGCCATGGTTTCATTTGATGCATAAATCTCCTCATCACAGCCGGTGATTCTGTTGCCACGAACCCTGTTCCCTGGGTTTTCTTTAATGGTATCAACAAAACAAAGCGCGCAATAAAGCTTTGTTGAAGACTAGCCGTTGACTCAATGTAATCAACTCAATAGCCGCGCCATTGTTTGGTGTATTTTCCTATTATATCACGTTCAGTTTATTCTAATTTCCCACCATTTTTTACGCAGTCGATTCACTGAAAAGCATATGGTGATCTATAACGCAGTATCATCCAGACATAATACACGGGGCGATGTAATCGTTAGCATGTCGAACTGGGGGTATCGTGAAGGTTTTAGTTCCATAGCAAAAACTGGATGGGATTGGGATCACCCTCTCCCTGCCTATAGACTTCCCCGAGAATAATCAAATCTGACCGTTTTGGGTAGGCATTTACCAAAGTCTTCTATTTATCCGATTAAAAACTACGACCTGCCTTTATGGCACCTAGCTATGGTCTCATTTCATTGAAATTTTAGCCCACATGTGTAGTTGAGCGCACCGTCA